CGGCCGCCGGCGGGAGGTGTCCCGGGGGGGGGCGGGGTGTGTGTGTCAGGGACAGGTGGCCCGAGGGCGCCGGCGCACCGGCTCCGCTCTCTCTGCCTCGGCCCCCCTGCCCCCCAGGGTCCCCGACCTCCAGTTCCCGGGGAAAAGGGAGGCAGGTCTGCAGGGGGCAGTGGAGGGCTCGGCGGCGTGCGTACGGCCGGGCAGTGTGACGCCCGACCTGTGCCCGCTGCCCCTGCCCAGCCTCCCCTGGCTGGGTGGGAGGGCGCCAGGTGGTAGAAAGGGACCGTCTGTGGGAGGTCCACAGTACCTGCCTGCTGGCGCAGAGGGCTGGGGCGCGGGCAGGGCTCCCGGTGGGCTCTCCCGCAGGAGCAGCGCCTTCTCAGGTCGCCTCGGAGCCCTCCGTCTTCCCAGGGTGGGGTGGGAGGAGCAGATGGTGCAGGGTTAGGAGCTAGCCCCCTGTGAGGGAGCAGGCAACACTGGGACAGGCCCTACCCACAATCACAGAAGGCCCAAGGTCCCCGTCGCCACTGCTCAGAGCAAGCACATTTTCTGACTCTGGGAAAGACCATGGGCTGGAGGTCAGGCCTTCGATGGGGTCCTCTGGCGTCGGATTAGCTGTTTCTCCGCAGGTGAGGGTGGCTGGTGCCAAGGGGGTGACAGTGGTCAGGGTAGAGAAAGGAAAGGCCTCCTGCAGCCCCCCTCCACCTTGGTCGGTGTCCTGGTGGCACTGCCAATTTCCACGTTCACCCTAGAACCCCATCCAGTCTGCTTCTCAAAGTAGGGCCCCGAGGAGCTCACAGTGTTGTACTGGGGTACGGGGAAGCTGCAGGTGGGACGCATGGCCTTGCCCTTAGTGGCCAGTTTCACCTGCAGATTTGGGTGGGCGGGACCCTTGTCATAGGGTACCGAGAAGTGACGGGGTAGAGTGCCAAAGTGTAGGCTCCTGGCACAGTGGAGGTTGGGGAGATGCAGCAGGAGCTCAGACAGGGCTGTGCGTGGCTGGTCACTTTGAGGCTGAGGGTCTCAGAGAGGGGCCGGGGAGGCATTTCCTGGGCCCCGAGAGCATCAGGATATCTGGAGGCTTGGGAGGAGATGATGGCAGGGTGACACCCCACTCCCAGCGCTGGAGCCCCGCCAGTGGACATCCTCCAGTGTGTGGAGTCTGGGCTTTGCCTGGCTTGAGCCCTGGTCCTCCCCCAAGGCTGGCGGTGGTGAGGACAGTGGGGGAGGGTTGGTGCTGGAGGCAAAATGCTGACAGCAAAGTGCAGGTGGCTGTCAGTGGGACCAGTCGCAGCTGACTGCAGGCAGGAGCCAGGTGGCCCTCTGAGTGCTCCGGACCCCGTGCATCCCTGGCCCCGGATATGAGCCTTGCTGCCTAAGGGTGTATGTTTCAGAGGGTGGCAAGGACAAGTGCCCCCGCTTTGGAAGACACCTAAGAGGCACACGAGGGAGGCCCGCTGCAGCATGGGTTGCTTTGGTCTGGCTTCCTGCTCATTGCTGTCTGCACAAGGTTCCATGGGAAAACGGCAGAATTCCAGAGGGATCAGGTGTGCAGGAGCTGCTGCATGTTTAATGAGGTGGCTGCTGATGGCTGCCTTAGAGAGCCCAGCTCCTGACCCTGGGCAGTGGCCTAGGCTTGCCTTTTATGCAGCAGCTGACTCCCTGGAACTGCCCGGCAGGGTCTTGGTGCAGCTGGACTGCAGGCTGAGGGTACAGGAGGGAGCCCTTGTCCATGAGCTGCAGTGGGAGAGGAGAGGGGCCAAGACTGTACATTGGGGGCGCTGGAAAAGTCACATTCTGGGGTAGAGAGGCCAAACTGGCCTCTCGTGGCCTTGGGTATTTCAGTGGTGGGTGGGTGGCTGGGCCATGGGCCTTGCCCGTTCGCAGGAGAAAGATGGGCCTAGCAAGACAAGGGGAGGGGCTGGGGCTTGTAGGCTGCTGAGTGAGCCAGAGTTCCAGAGTTGGAACTGTCACTCGATCTTCCTGGCCCTGATCTCCGTTCAAGAGAGGCACCGCGTGTCCCAACAAAATCCAAGCCAGGTTTTCTGAGTTAGAGACCTGCTTGTGTGGCCCATCTGCACATGGTGACAGGTGGCCCCTACAGAGGCTCAGTGTAGATGGAGCACTGGCCTAAGCCCTTGCGATACATTATCTCTTTAGTGCCTGCCACCTGCCACGGGGCAGAGCGCTAGGTGGTAGAAAGGGAATGTCTGTAGGAGGTCCCCAGGTGTTAAACAGTGCCTGCCTGGCACAGAGGGCTGGGGCTTGCACAGGGCTGACCGATGAGCTCTGCTGGGTATTGGCACAGCTCTGAGGTCCAGCTGCCACCTTGCCACTGCCTCACTGTGAGACCCGGGCAGGGTAGCTCACCTGGCTGGGTCTCACCTGACTTAGCTGGTAGAGGGGATGCTTCCATGTTCCGGGAGGTGCAGGCGGCATCCTTGGGCATCCTCTCCGCAGGCCGACTCTCCCTGCTGATTCCTTCCCATGTCTCTTGCTTTTAAGCTTGCGCGATCTCTGGCCTCTTCAACTGCATCACCATCCACCCTCTGAACATCGCAGCCGGCGTGTGGATGATGTGAGTAGTGCGTGGCTGGCCTGCCCTGGCAGGCTCAGGGCGTGTGATTTCTGCCATGGTGTGGGTCTTATCCTCCCTCGCATTCCTACACTGCTCACGTTTCCTAGTGGGGGGTCAGAACCCATCCGGGCATTTACTGGGTGCAGGGTCGAGGCCTTTGTGAATGTCTGCTGAGTGACACTGCAGACACCAGGCTCACCATGATGGGGCCCTGGCCCTGTGCTGGGAGAGGGTGACCCAGCTTGGAGACAGGGATCAAGGGCTGGGAGGCAGAGCAGGGTCAGTTCAGGGACCAGTGCTTATCCTCAGACGAGGTCTTTGCCATCTCCTGCCAGGGTAGCTCGATCCCACTGGAGGCTAAAGGCAGGGGTGAGGACTGGCCAAGTGCAGTCCCAGCCGTGAGAAGGGCACCTGGGAAGTGGCTGTGTGTGTCGTGCTCTGTGGGGCTTGGTGCCGTGAGGGGCATGGCACGCAGGTCCTGCCTTCAGAGGCCTCGGGCCAGACGTGTGGCGGGGTGCAGAGGCCTGTGCCAGCCAGGGGGTTGATGGTGGTGGTGGACACTGGGCCCGGCCATCGGGGAGGTGGGCAGGTTGGCTGAGCTCAGGGTGAGGGTCAGATGTGGCAGACAGGCACAGCAGAGGCTTAGGTCGGTGTCGCTGTTGAGAATTGCAAAGGGCAGCTCTGGGGCTCAGAGTGGTCCCTTGGGCGTCTCGAGCCTGTGTTTCTATTAAAGGGTTGGCTTGGGGCAGATGGAAGGGCCTGGTAACTGTGGCCAATACCTACCCATGGCACACACCAGACTAGAGCAAATACCCCAGTACCAGGGTCTCAGCGCTGCCCATGCAAACACAAGGGCTGGACGGGAGCCCTCATCAAGTTCCTTCCTTCTAACATGGCCTTCCTGGGGCCGCTCTGTGTCCCTTTTGCCTGCGTGTCCCCAGGCCTTGGGCCCAACAGCATGGGTGCACAGTCTGCCTCAATGCCTGGATTTCTGGTGCCACCCCCTGCTCTTCCAGTGCTGAAGGTGGTGGTGTTGGTGCAGGTGGGGTGGTACTGACAGTGGTTGGTGTTGCTGCAGGCTTCTAGCTGTGCCAGGCCGGGAGCCATGGGGTGGGGACGGGGGTGGGGGGAGAATGAGCAGGATGAAAGGATGTCAGGTGGTCAGGGCAGTGGGGTGAATGGAGGAGCACTCAGCAGGGGCCCTACCGAAGGGGGAGGGTGGCATTCCTCCCCGGGCACTGGTGCTGGGGGCCGCCCCTGCCTCCAGGCTGCCAGCTGGCTGCCCCCTCGCCTTCCCTCCAGCATGAACGCCTTCGTCCTGTTGCTGTGTGAAGTGCCCTTCTGCTGCCAGTTCGTCGAGTTCGCAAACACGGTGGCCGAGAAGGTGGAGCAACTGCGTGCCTGGCAGAAGGCTGTCTTCTACTGCGGGTGAGGGGCCCTGGTAGGGCCCGACACCAGTCCCCAGAGTCTGCTGACAGTGGCCCTGATGGCAGGTGGCGGTGCTGGTGAGGGTGGGCAGGGACAGGTTTTCCTCACCGTGAGCTTTCGCCCGAGGTTGCTCCTGCAAGTAACTCGAAGATAGCCGCTGCGTGTGACTGATTCTGTGCCTTGGAGTCGAACCTCCACTACGCGTGTGAGCTCACAGATACCTGCAGGTCTCCAGAAAGTTCACGAGGGTGTGCTGTGGAAACACCGTGCGTGGTTTCCAAAGAGTTTTTGTACCAAAATAAATACTTAAATCTCACTTTCCCATGAACTTTTTGAAGCCCTCACAGGTATGTGCTGGCCGCGGCATGTGCAGTAGGGTTAGGGCCCTTCTGGGGTTCCCCTCGGGAATGATAACCAGACTGCAGGAGCGGGGAGGGTGTTTCGTGCAGACTTTCAGAAGTGCAGGCTCTGGGGGCCTGACGTGAAGGGCAGAGCAGGTTGCAGAACAGAATGGACTGTTGTCATTCTTTTTTTTTTTTTTTTTAATACCAGACAGAGACAGAGAGAAAGGGAAAGTGAGAGAGCAAGCCATCAGTTCCAGGACTCGAACTGTGGTCGGCCGTGTGGGAATCCAGCACCTTTATCTACCACACTGCCTGCCGGCCCCAGAATGTACAGTTGTCTTCTAAACAGGCGCTTTCAAATTTTCCTGTGTCTAACAACAAATTAAGCATGGAGAATTTCACACCTGAGTCTTAAGACTGAACTAATTTCAGGATAAGTACAGTACGTGGAATCTTCTAGAACAATACACAGGAGGCTGGCAGCAGCAGAAATATTCATTAGCATCATCTAGATTAGAAGTAAATTTGAGTTAATACTTTTTCCCCCCTTGCTGTGAGGTCCAGGAGTTGTTTTGTCCGTTTTATTCACAATAATGTGTGTGTGAATTCAGGCTGGAGGGGAGAGCACCCCCCGGCTCATGCCACAGTCCTCTATACTCTCTAACCCTCCATCTCAGGGTCCTGGGCATGCAAGCCACCACGGCAGGGACTTGAGATCTGGCCAGCCATGTGGGTTGTGGGTTCCAGCTTTCTCCACACAGCGTTTAGCCACTGTGTATTTTCTGTATTAAATATTTCATAATCTTTTATGTCCTGCAAATGTTTTCTTAGCTTGTTGTTAGCTTTTATTTATTTTTTTAAAGAATTATTTTATTTATGGGACCAGCAGATAGCATAAAGGTTACATCACTGGACTCCCACGTAGTTGACCATGGTTTGAATCCTGGACCTGGTGACTTAAAACTCACACCAGGCACATGTGCATGCGTGCCTCAAATCCTGAGAGGAGAATGGAGAAGGGATTGCGGTGTGGCCATCCCCCCTGAGGGGTGATTTCTTGCTTTCTGTCTCTCCAGCAAGCACGTGCGCCTTATAGCAAAAATCTCTCTCTGGAAAAAAAAAAAAGAATTATTTATTACTATTATTTAAAATTGGTTATAGGGCACATACGCTTACCAGAGAGAGACAAAGAGAGAGAGAGAAAGCAAGCTGCCAGGTCCAGGGCTACAACCACGGTGGGCCATGTGGGAGCCTTATGCCCAAACCACCACACCACCTGCCGGCCCCTGTCTTTTATAAGTTTAAGGTTATTTTATTTAGAGAGTGAGGATGCAAGAGAGAAAGAGAGACAGAGAAACACGAAATGACAGGTACCCTTGACCTTGTCTTGCCACACCGTGATCCTTCCCCAGGCACTGGTCGCGGCCGGGATCTGAACCCTTCCCAGGGACTGCAGTATCGCGGAGTGCCTCACTGCCTACGTAACCATGCTGGGCCTCATTTTGTTTGGACAGATTTCTCTCTTGTGTTTTTTTCCTTTGGATTTTTTTTTTAAAGTACTGCAGCATTTAAAAAAAAAAAACTCACTACAGGATTTGTACATGCATCAGAGAGAGTCAGAGACAGAAAGAGAGAGAGTGAGAAAGCGTCCCCCACCCCACCCTGGGGACAATGATCACAGCGTAATCCCATCTCTGTCCCGTCTTCATCCTCCTTGTAGGATTTTGGACACATACATATAAGTGCCCAGTGTGTTTTTCTTTCTTTCTTTCTTTGTCTATAGGGTGTGCGTGCTTGCCAGAGAAAGAGAAAGTGAGAATCACTCCCGGGAGGATGACCATGCTGCAGTCCCTTCCCCATTCTCAGGATTTTGGGCACATGCACACACATGCCTTAGCATGATTTTCTAGCCACTGGGTATGGGACTTGGACTGTGGTTGGCCACGTGGGAATCCAGCGCCTTAAACTACCATGCCACCTACTGCCCCTCCCCGCCAGCGTGATTTTGAAGCCTCCAGATCCAGGATGGAACTGAGCAGTGGACCATGTGGTGCACAGGCTTGACCACCATGCCACGGGCTGGCCCCTACTTTTAAACTGTAATAAGATCTCATGATCACACATCCCAAACAGTGGCAGTTCGGTAGAATGCAGTTGGCTGTGAAGACCATCCTGCACTGGCAGCCTCCTTTAGGGAAGGGACAGGACAGAGGGTGGGTTTTCAGGTTGCTGGTATTTTCCTGGCCCATTTAGCCCAGGAATTGCCTGGAAATTCCAGCCTGGGTCTTGAATCAGTCCAGTGAAAATTTAAGCCAGATGGGTCCCGCCACTAGGTGGTGCCCAAATGCAGCTAGGGTGAGAGACTGCCCTGCACCTTCCCAGCCCCTGTGCTCACTTCAGACCCTGAGCCCTCGAGAGCCTGAGTCCCTGTCGTAAATTGGGGCCTCGCTTGTGGAGATGTGGCCCCCCTTACTGAACCAGGAGCATTTACCCAGTGCCCGTGATGGCCCAGGTGTGTTGAGCAGTTAACTTGCCTTCCTCCCAGGAGCAGAGAAAACAGGGAGGCTGAGTAACTTGCCTGCAGTCACGGAGCTGTTTAGTGCTCCAACGGCTGCTCTTTGAGCCTCCGCCTTCTGTGCTCGTGAGCGTTGAGGGCACTGGGCCAGCCTGCCGCTGCTGGACACTCCGTGGGCCACAGGCTCTTTTGGAGGTCTGGCGAGACCTGTGGACCTCTCCCTGGGAAGTGCACAGTGGTTTGCAGGCAAGGTCAGGAGTCTGGGACTTGGAAGCCTGGCCAGGCACCTCACCCCGTGTCTGTGGTGGCCTTGGGGGCATGCTCCTGATCTGTCTCTCCCCCAGGATGGCCGTTGTCCCCATCGTCATCAGCCTGACCCTGACCACACTGCTGGGCAACGCCATCGCCTTTGCCACGGGGGTGCTGTATGGACTCTCCGCTCTAGGCAAAAAGTACGTCTGCTAGTCTCACTCCCCATGACCCTCGCTGGCCTCTCAGTAGGGAGGCCCCCTCTGGTCCAGTTGTGGGGGAGACCGAGGTGCTCCATCAGTGTCTGCAGAGGGTTGTGCTCCAGGGAATGCCAGCGAGAGGACCTCAGTGGTTTCCTGGTGGCCCATCTTGCTCGGTCAGGGCCTGTGAGACCCGCTCCATCTGAGGCCCACACCAGACATCACACCCTGCTGCAGCAGAGCCGAGGTGGCACCAGGCCTTCTCAGCCTCCCTGGCTGCCAGGCCACTCAGAGGCGCCAGGTGGACCTTTGTTGCCCCAGAGGTGGTCCTAGTAGGCTCTGCCTACAGACATACCAGGGTCATGGGCCAGGACAAGGAGGGTGGGACGGCCGTGTGCCGAGGCAGCCCGTGTGACAACGTGCACTGTCCCCAGGGGCGATGCCATCTCCTATGCCAGGATCCAGCAGCAGAAGCAGCAGGCGGATGAGGAGAAGCTCGCGGAGACCCTGGAGGGGGAGCTGTGAGGTCAGGTGACCTTTGCTCCTCTGGTGAGCACATCTGAGGCTAAAGCCTGGAGGTCTGCAGCCAGACCCTGAGTGACCTCTCTGCAGCTTCCACCACTTCCAGATGGGTTTTAGGTGGGCCCTGACTGCTGGTGCTGACAGCCGGGCCGTGCAGCTCTGGGTGGACTGCCGCATGCCTGCTCCTGCCAGCTCACCACAAGAGGTGCTGGGTGGGCTGCAGACATTCCCTGGCTGGCAGAGCTGGTTGTAGCTTGGGGAGGCACATCCCTTTGAGGACCTACCCCCGGCCCTTTGGGCCTAGGCATTAAGGTGAGGGCAGCTAGAGCTGCTGGGATTAGCTCTGTCTGCCTATCCTTAGGCTGAGGACTGCCAGATCTGCGTCCTAAGGCTGGCGGCAGCTGCTGTGCGCGCCTCTCACTGCTGCAAGGACTGGGCCCCTGCTGCCACCTTTTCCTCTGGAGGAGCCCGGGTGTGCATCCTGCACCCTCAGCAGCAGCCTGGGTAGTGACTGGACCCCCCCCACTGGTTTGGACAAGCCACCCCAGGACCCCAATTTCTTGTGCCCCTGCCCCAACCATCTCTGGCCTTGGTGCTAAGGGAGAGGGGAGAGCCGGCTCTCCCAGTGCTCCTGGGCGCCCCTACCTCCCAGGTGTGGGAGGAGCAGCAGCCCACACTCTGCTAGTGGGGGCTGAGCTTGACCCACCTCAGGTATCCCTGCCTGTCGGCCCCAGGCTCTGCTCAGGAGCTGCCTGCTTTTTGATGCTGGGTGGAGGCCAGTGCCACCCGAGAGCTGGCCCCTGCCCTGTGTCCATTCTGGCTGCCAGGAGCAGCTGGTGCTGGGGTTTGGGGTGAGGGCTCATCAGCACTTTGGTGGGTACTGCCCTAAGGGACACATCAGTGTGCTCCTGGTCAGCAACAGCCCCCGGGAGCATGAGCAGGAGGTGCCTCTGGGCACCACCTGGCCTGGCTGGACACTTGCTTCGGGGTCCCTCTGGGGCCACCTTCCTCAGGCCAGTGCTGGGTTCAAAGGGCTCTGTGTGTGTGTGTGTGTCTGTGTCCTCCCATGTGTGCAGTGAAGACCTACCTGTCTACCTCCCAGGAGGAGCATGGGCCCTGCCTGCCCTTCTGCTTATTCTTACCCAGGCAGAGGGACCCTGGGCTCACTTCTGCCAGCCCTCCTGTCCCGCCCGAGGCGCCTCAGAGGCTGCAGAAAAGATCGCCTGTATGCACTTGGGAAGGAACAGCATGCCCTGTGGGCAGGCTGGGGACCCAGACGTGGAGCAGTGGGTCCTCTGGGCACCCAGGCCAGAGTGGGCAGCTCACCACCTTCGTTTCCAGCGAGTCTGGCTGAGCCGTCTTGGGGCCCATGACCCTGTCCTCCAGCGGGGGGCCCTGCCTTGCACGGAACAGCTCCAAGCTGCTGAGGAGTCTGGGCCGGCTGGCCGCCAGTCTCTCTCCTGCCTGTGCTTTCCGACTCGGGCTGCCTTCGTCCTGTGGCCCGTCATGTTTAGTTTGCCTTCTGAGCAATAAAGTAAGGCTGTAGTTTGTACACTGGCTCGTTTGCTGGCTCTGCTTTCACCTCTGGCGCCTGTAAGTGTGAGCAGAGGTGCCCCCAACCTGTGCCGGCTGAGCAGGTGCTGCCGGCCTGCACCTGCTCCCAGCACCCACTCGAGGGGAGTGCTCTGTCCCAGGTCCCACAGCCAGGGCATTGGCGCCCAGCAGGGCCTGACCACTCCCTCATGCCCACCTGCCTGCCTCTCCTTTCCCATCTTCTTGGTTTCATGGCAGCTGGGCGGGTGTGCCACAGGAGGGCCCTGGTGCCCTAGCCTGGCTGCTGGGAGGGAGCTCCCCTTCCTGGGGCAGACCCTGCTCCATCTCAGGGCTGTAGGCCCAATTTCTTTATTTTAATAAATAGGGTAAACACAGTTTGCAGATGGGAGCCCCCTGTTCCCAGAGGTCTGGCTGGGGCAAGAAGTGGCTGCCCTGGGTCCTGCGCCCTGGCCTTTGGAAGTCCAGAATGTTCCCTTGGTGTCCACGAGACCCCTGTGACCAAAGACCTGTGTCTTCCTCCCTGTAACCAAGATGCTTGGTGGTGGCCAAGTAGTTGGGGCAGGATCTGTGGTGAGGTGCCTGTGTAGAGCCCCGTTCTCTGTCCTCGTCCTGGCTTCTGTGGAGTGCCCTTCAAGCCTAAGTAAGGAGCTAGGCCTGAGCCTGCCCAGCAGGGCCTTGCGCTGAGCAGCAGACGGCACGCTCTCCTCCCCAGCCAGCTCTGGGCAATGGGTAATGCTGCGGACCTGAGCTGGGGGCCCTGGCTGGAGCTGCCACTCGGCTAGAGCCAGGAAGCATGCTCTAAGGGCCTGCTGTGCTCCGGCCAGTCCTGTGCTCTGGCCGATTCCAGGGACTACCGCTGCCTCCTGGTCCCCGGGTGAGGTTTGTGGCCAATACAGAGGCTGGGCAACTCCGTGGTTTGCCCTTCCCAGGCAGGGACCCTGACCTAGCGCATAAAGGACCTCCTCCTGGTGCGAAAGAAGGCCTCGATCTGTTCCAGTGACCGGCCCCTGGTCTCAGGCACACAGCAGCTGGTGAAGAGTAGGCTCGCCAGGCAGACGGCCGCGAAGAAGAAGAAAGGCACCTGGAGGCCGAAGGCATTCTGGGTGGAGAGCAGGGTGTCGGGTCACATGGGAGCACTTGGTCCTTCCACCCTGGGACGTGCCCTGCAGGCCCGCCTGTATTGGCCAGCATCAGCTGTGGCCCTGCTCTGAGACCTCCCAGGGCTCCCCACTGCCTCTAGGACAAGACCCAAAGGTTTCAGGGTGCTTTTGAGGCTGCCCTCTCTCCCACTGCCCTCTAGGATTTCCTTCCTGTTGGGAGGGCCTGTTCTGCCAGTCTGCCCTGGCCTGGCCTCTCCGGCCCCCTCAGGCACCCCTGAGCCTCGCCCAGTGCCACCTGAGTCAGCTCTGCCACACTCCGGCCCACATGAGGCCGTGGTGTGGCTGGAGTGTGTAGGTTCTGCCCCGCCTGCACTCTGACTTTCCCACTCGGGTCGCTCTTCCCCACCTCCAGCCAGCCCTGGCCCGAGTTACCCAACCAGATCTCCACCATGGGAATTGGAACTGGGGATCGGGGGTTCCCATGGCTTTAATGGCCCTTGGTTTTGACCCAGAGGGGAGTATGTGTGGCAGGGCACCCTACTGGTAGGGCAGGGGGTGAGCACGCTAGGCATGTGGCTCTCTGGGTCCCTCTGAGTCCTGGGCCATGTCGGACCCTGGCCTGGGAGGTGACCCTGGTTTCTCAGGCCCCTGAGCCCTCTCCTTATATGTGTTGTCATTGGCTTCTCGTGGCCTCGGGGTACAGGGACTGTGGCTAACCTGGGGCCACTGGGAAGGTGGGATAAGCGGCAGGAGGGCCCCAGGGTGCCCAGGTCCCTGGCCAACACTCACCACCACCAGCAGGAAGGACTTGGTGAGCGCAAAGGCAGTGAGCCAGCTGACCAGCACGCACAGCCCCGAAGCCACACCACGGGCACGCAGCGGCAAGATCTCAGACATGAGGAGCCAGGTGATGGGGCCCCAGCCCATGGCGTAGCCTGCCCGAAGGGGAGCAGTGGGCTCAGGCCTCGTGGGTGGCTGGGAGGTCTTGGCTGTCTCCCCAGAGCTGCTGTGAGACCCCTCCAACCATCCCAGACAACCCAGGACAGTAATACTGCCCCACTGGGACATGGAGGTCACCTGCAGGTCAGCCCAAGGCACGGCCACACCTACCCATGATGAAAAACATGGTGGCCAGGAGGGGCACCAAGGTGAGGTAGCTGGCAGGTGAGGCTGGGGGCTGCTCAGTGCCCCCCAGGGCTGGACTCTCAAGGCCCACAGTGCTGTTGGGGGTCAGAGGCCTCGGACCGAAGTGGATGTACAGCCCCAGTGTCAGGTTGGCAGCACACATGATGGTTGCTGTGGATGACAGGTGGCCCTCGTGGGGCCAGGGCCATCTGAGCCACTCGCTCCCCCAGAAGCTCCCTCTGCAGAGCCCCGCCGCCCCCTGCACTGAGTGGCCAGCCTCGTCCTGCACGCTGCTGTGATGGGGACTCCCTGCAGGCTGCGAGCGCGGTGTCCAGCTGTGCTCCGGGCTCCTGCCGCTCCGCCCTGGCGTGTCCTGTTGGCTAGTGCCTCGGCACCATTTCTGGGTGTTGACCTAGCCAGCCACACACCACGAGGGTGGCCTGGGTGGCCAGGGCTGGGGTGGCTGCTGGGCACGTGGCCAGGCAGGCGAGGCGGGCACGAGCGAGTACGGGCAAGTGATGCTTACCTGAGACAAAGAGGAGCACCTTGCGGCCAGCGAGGTCCATGGTGAGGGCAGCGATCAGCACAGACAAGAGCCTCACGGCCCCCACAATGGCCGCGTCATCCTCGGGGGGCTGCGGGGAGGGGGCCACAGCGGCTGAGACCCGGGCCTGCTGCTCTGTCCCCTTCCACCCTTCCCCTGGGTGCTGCAGGGCACTCGGGCCCAGTCCTGACCCCTTTGGTGCCTGGAGCTGCTGGCACCGATGATGTGCCAGTTACTCCCTGCATTCCCACCCTTGCTGGGGGCCTTGCGGGCAGGGGCACAGGGGGTTCTGCCGACAGCTGGGCTCAGCTGGCACAGCACCGGGCAGGACAGTGACACGTGGGGCAGTGCTGTTACTAATCTT